CTCAAATCATATTGCCATGTAATTAATGGACATTGCGATACGTAATATGGATAATTAAGTGTACCTCGCAATGAGATAGTACTGTCGTATGTCTAGCTAATAAAAGCTTCTACCTTTTTGTATGCATTTTTAATTTTTTAATGAAGAAATTAAACTTAACCAAAAAAAATCGTATTCAATATTCCTTATACTATTAGAGAAAAAACAATGAGATTTCGTTTTTTATTTTATTTGGTTACAATTCTTTCAAATTAAAGTTACGAGAAATCATAGTGTAATGGATAGTTCACGTTGGTTTCTGAAACCAAAATGTTTGTATATTCGTCATCCCTGTCTTTCATCTTTGACAAAACAGAAATAACAATATATTTTAAACGAGAATTACAGTCTCAGAAACTATTAGTCTCTTCTACAAGATATTCCCATAAAGTTAAAGATGTGAATATGTATTATACTTATGTCTAAAATGAATTCATTTAGGTCGAAGTTTTACGTAAGAATATCGCAACCAAAAAGTATATGACCTTAAAAATGTTAAATAATAACAGAAAACATATACAACAAAAAGATCCCACGCCGCTGATCCGTATCCAACAAAAGAATATTCATCTATAGCGGAAAACGTTTAAACATTCCCAATCTTTTAACAACAATAACCAAATCGATCGCGGGGATACATTCTTAAACATATCTTGGCATCAAGAATAACGCAATAAAAAGTACTTAGTCGACAAACATATATTTACCATCACCTACAATATCTATAACAAAATTCAACTGTAAAACCAAAGCTTTAAGGATCAAATTCATATTAAAATACCTTTCAGAAATGCAAATACATTTTGTAAGTGTAATGTTAGAAGGAATGACGTGATTCATCTCCGTGTCGTACAAATCGGGTACGATATTGTATTTTGATTCAATTAGTTAAGCGGCAACTTCCATATTGGACTATGAGTACAAGAATTCGTTTGTATTCAAACTAAACACACTTTGAATGCGTGATTGTAGTATTTTAAACTTTATTTATATACGTTATTTTTTCATTTTAATATTGACAATTTAATTTTTTTTCTCTGAACTGGAGCAAAATGCAATTTACTTAGTTCTTTCGTCATGAAATCAGTGCTTGTCGAGGGGGCTCTGTATAAATATACGAAGAATTTTTTTCAATGATTTTTTTTTGTGTAAATGTTTCTTTGACCTGTATTTACAACTAAGTTTTTTTTATATATCCACGCTGATGGAGTCTAGGGCAACAGCTTTACTAAACTAAACTTTAATAAACTTAAATATCTTAATCCAAAACTTGCAATTTAATTTCTTAAACATATCAAATATTATTCATTTGAGCTATACAATTGTATAGACTGAGTTTTAATATATTATATGATTTCGATAACGTTATTATAAAGTCAGTTTTGATGATAGATTAAAGAACTAGTAAGAATGCATAGACAAGAATCTTATGGATACAGCTAAAGGCAAACATAAAACGTATGACAGCTAGATCTTTGTCCATACGTACACCCATTGCCCCGCCTCATTACCTCCTCTAAGCGATATACTATGAAATTTACTAGCACACCAAACAAGACACCGGTATACAAAGATCTCTCCATTCAATAAAACTCTCTATAACACCAATCAATGTTATATACCATGTTATATTGGTCATCTAACGTTGATCTTTATTAGTATATTTGCATCGAGCTAACAAGTTTCTTATATCTGTGTGATACAGTTCAAAATGTAAGAAGAATATTTAAGGGAATATGTCGAAAGTACTAGCATTGTATATTACCACATTTACATTTTAGATATGCTGTAGGGTATAAATGTCAATTGAGACGAACATGTAGGCACGGATGCAGTGAGTTGTGGAGAGTTTGCAGTTATTGAACTCAAATGCGATAAAGATCTGATCGGAGACGAGCACGATGATGTACAGATTGATCTTAATTGATGTCTCATTGTCGATGTCATTACAAAATCTGATAATTACTTAAGAAATAGCAAATAAACAAAAGCAACACACAATAGTATAAGAACGATTGAAGCAATTAATGTTAACGAAGATTCAGTTCTAATAGACACAATAATAGGACATACAAAATAAGTTGATAAATTAAGAGAAAAAACAGCATTGACTATGGTTACCTTTATCTACAGCTTCAATCATACATAAGTAACGGATCAAAGAACATTTCTTTGACATTTATTCCATTCCCACTTAACTAAATGTCAGATATGGATTATGAGATTATGGAACACTTCTTAATAAGTAACCGCGATTGTTTTCCCAATCTAACGGTTCTGCTAATATCATTGAACTTTATAGAATACTAGCGGACCCGACAGACGTTGTCCTGTCTACATGTCTTTAATTTGATCGCAGCGCTAACTGTCGGGACAGACTAAAATTAAAATTCGAATATTATTTAAAATTTGACACTGCGATGGTAGCGCCGTCTGTCGGATCCAATGTAAAACATTCCAAAATCAACAACTACTAATAAAATAAAAATTAATTAAAAAGACATTGTCCAGCGGACAAAATTGTGAATCTAAACCATTCCCAGATCCCCTTGAACACACACAAAAAATTTTATCAAAATCGGTCCAGTCGTTTGAGACAAGTTCAGTGACATACACACGCACAGAAGAATTATATATATATTATATAAAGATGTATCGTCTTATTGTTAGAATTGCTTTCTAAAGCCTTTTACACATTTTGGTCTTACTTAATTCTTAAAAATTAGGCGACACCACAGGAGACGGAGGAGCTGGCAGCAACCTCAGACAAAGATTTAGTCTAGCTATTCAAAGGGGGAACGCTGCCATTATCTTCAGAACCTTTACCTAAAGGGACTCCTCATAATAATGTTGAGTTATTTATGTTATAGGAGATTTTAGTTTCATCAAAGATTATGTTTAATACATTAATTCTTAATATAGAAAGATAAAAAAATAACAAGAAAAAAAGATGATTACCGTAATAAAGGTGAACAACCTACAAATATAACTTTATTACGAAGACTCAAATTATTAACAAAACGATACAAGATATTCAAAGCTGGTTATCAAACATCAAAAACATCATTTACTGGCAAGTAGCAAATGTCATGATAGCGCAAGACTCAATGGAGCAAAAAATTGACAAATTATCTTAATTTGATACAGGGAGGTATTGTAACTAAACTGACTGGTAAAACTCCAAACTGATATCATCTCTCGCATTTGCAATTCCGACATTACAAACTGACATAGGATAAAAACTAAAATATAAGTTTAGAAAGTAAAGAAACCATTTGCCTTAGATGAAGTCATTTGGCAATCATAAAAACTAGTCAAGTAATATAAAAAGTAATTACCTATACTGCTTAGAAATTAGACTCTCGATAATTGGTTAAATGCTAGCTAAAATAGTCAGACATACAGTTCAAAAACCTCGCCTTAGGAAGTAACACACCCATGTTTTTTTCTCTGAATCATAATTCTCAACGCGCCAAGAACTTTCGATCACAACGTAAAGTTCCATTGAGTGAATTCAAAAACCCATTATGTAGAACATTATGAGGTCCCCATTGTTTTGGCTGAATGAGCCGGCACAATATCTTACGAAATTTACTAAAAAAAAAACACCTTCGTATTATAAATGTTTATTATGTCGATGGAACATTATCTGATGCGGTCTCAGCGACCATTGTCTTTTTGTTTTCTCCATCTTCGTGTTTTATAGCTTTAGCCGTTGTCAAATTAAAATCGACGATGCTCGAAATTACTTTAAAATTCCTGAGGTTCTCTCTAACTAGTTACATCTTACCGCTTCCATTTTATCTTTAATCTTCCAAAATTAAAGGCAATAAATTCGTTGCTCGCATAGCTTATTGACGTCTAACAATACCCATTTTTCGATATCATTTTCGCACAATCTGTTACAAAATCGTGAGCCATTAACGCGGTTTGAAACAATCTACGGTTCGAGTGATCTCTCTAGTTCATTAATAATAACCTGCTCTCACTAAAACCTCGTCCGCTATTACAATCACGAGTATTCATGCACGACTTATGTAACACACCAAATTATCAAGCTGTATGTTAACGTCCATTGTGTTGTGAACGCTAATCTACATAAGTATAGGTATTAATTCGTCTTTCAAAAACGATTTTGTAAAAAAAGATGCAGAGGTGGTATTTCGTCAGCGTGCAGTGTCTAAGAAATACACGAGTTTTAATCTTACGACGACGACGGAACACAAAACCAAATTTTCAATACAATACCACGTTCGTACAGGTTTGGTACGGCCGTTTCGTATTTGGAAGAAGTAGTTGCGAGCGCAAAAGTGTGTTGTGCTACGATTTATATCAGATTTCTTGATTGTGTACAACTCAAAAATCTAAAACAGCCCTCCTAACACTAACTAACAGCTCCTTTAAAAAACCAGTACAGAGAAACAAAAAGCTACAGATCAAAAGTCAAATGTATGTATTAGATAAGTAGAATAACTTGCACTACATCTTATTATTAACTGATAAAATCAACGGTATATTAAAACGAGTCGATTTATAAAAACACTTTCGTGATGTAATGTACTCGGGACGGAGTCGACGATCACTCACAATAGCGAGCGCTCTAGAGTGACTAGGAGAAAACATTGATTAATTACCATAATAATTTATTTGATACTCCAAAACTTGATATAGGGAGGGGCCGGTTACACGAGCGGGACGTTTAAGTTCATTTTGAACTAAAAACTTTAGACGTACGAGATGCAAACGCAAACATAGACGATGCCGAACACTTGGAAGTTATTAAATATTTCTTACATGTTGAAAATAGTACATTGTTCATTTGAATATGATGTATGGAAGTGATTTAACTGTTCCAAACAAAAGAATAACTTTTTTGGTTGGGGAATGTTTGAATATATCGTTAGTAGATATTAGCATGTTTGAATTCTTAGTTATTAATATTGTTTATTACTTTTTTTTAGGTCTTCTATCAGCATTGAATCACTTGGATCAGGTCCGTAAGAATTCCTTACAAACAACAGTTGATTATTCAAGATACGTTAAAAGGTTGGTATAGATTTAGCAACTGATAAACTTACTTTATATTAATATTATAAATGCGAATGTTTAGATGGATGTTTGTTTGAAAGTATCTCCAGGACGGCTGAACTGATCTCGATGAAATTTTGCATACAAATAGAAAACATAGTCTACTAATTATGTTTAATATTTTAAACGAAATCATGTGTTTGATTTTAAAGTAAAGCTTTTGAATATCAAATGCTATGTCTTAAAGTCGAGATTTTTTATGTTGCCCAAACAATACTATTAGTCATATCAACATCTGGCCAAATCGTTTCCATTGCTACGAGTTACTTGTTTTTTCCATTGACGATATTAACATAAGTCATGAATTTGTCTGTGTAAAGTTTTTTTGTATCTATTATTAATATTATTTTAGCTTTAACAATGACTTCTACAGTACAAACATGTGTCGTTCGATATTTTTTGCAAGTAATTCTTATATCCGTAAACTAGTTTGATGTTGAAAATATAATTTTATAAAAATTATACAAGATCTTTGTTACTTAAACTTTAAAAAAACTAACTATAATATTACAAAATCTACTTTTTAATAAATAAATTCGTGCTATCTAGAGAAGCTAGCATTGTTAGCTTTAGCTCGTTTGCTGTTTAGTTTAACGTTGTTTAATTTTTAGATACAGTTCAACATTAGAATGTGGTTCATCTTACTGCAAGGATTTGGGCTATCGAGAGCATTTTCACTGTATGGATTGCACCGCGAGGGTATTTTGCAAGAAAGAAGAAATGATAAGACATTTCAAGGTAAGTTTTTGATTAGAAAATAACACTAATTATTAAGATATCATTTTTTACCAACAGCTAAAGCCTCTAAGATCCTTATCCTTGGGTTGTTATCGTAAACTAGGCTTTATTTACTTTGAAGGGAAAGACAGAGTTATTTGAGATTCTTACTCACTAAAATCCCTCGGTGGTCAAACTCAAGTCCGACTGTGAGGGTCTCGGGATTTTTAAAGTACCGCAACGGAATCCTCTGCACTGAGCTAGTTTGATGAGATCTAAGGTGTTAGACAAAGTGTAATCGCTCCGAAGCAATTCCATAACGAACTTCAAAACTGTATGGACCTGACAATAACTTTCGATAAGTCATATGATTGTCGCGCGTCAGTTCGCTTCGAAGCGAACGCATTTTGTCAAACCCCTCTAGTGTTAAATAAAATTTGTTTCTTGATTATAATAAGTAAATTATTAACATAAGCTTTCTAGTTATGTCTTCTAAAACTTGTTACAAGCTCAATAATTATTAATTAACCTTTTGCAACCTCGATTCTAATGTAAGAGGTTATTTTATTTCTTATTCTTTTGTTGAATAGTTATATAATTTATTACAAATGCTATTGCATGAGACTACAATTGATAGACGATTAATCTTCAAGCTTGTTTGTTTTTTAAAGTATGTTTGCATTAACAGATTCATAGTTTTAACTTTAGTTTTTTTGTTACACTGTCGTAATATTTGCAAAGCAATCGTTTGAATTGATACTTTGTCGAAGGTTTTTAAATTATGAATACATTATAAATGCACTTTAAAAGACATCCTTTTAAACAGATTTTATAAAACTCATCATGTATATTACCTTCTAGAGACCTTGGAAATTATTATTTACCTCAAATTATAGCGATTAAAGTTATATATTACTATTTTACTGTTAATCAAAGTAATTTTACAGTTCTGTTGTTTGTTTGTTTAGTGGCACAAGAAACGTGACGAATCTTTAGCTCACGGCTTCATGCGTTACTCTCCGCTTGACGATTGTTCCGAGCGCTTCAGCGATTGCCCTCACAACAGGAGTCAAACCCACTATCACTGCATCCAAGATGGTTGCGATAAGGTATTCATGTCTTTTTTATTTACTACAAACATCGAAATTTCCATTATCTTTATGATTATTAAAGAAGTTCTCATAGTAACTGTGCATAGTAAGATAGGAGCAAATTCCTTTATCAGAATTATATTTTCAGGTGTATATATCCACATCAGACGTACAAATGCACGCGAATTATCATCGCAAAGACTCCGCCATCCTGCAGGAAGGCTTCCAAAGGTTCCGGGCTACTGAAAGCTGTGCAGCACCTCATTGTGTATTTGCCGGACAGAGAACTACACATTTCCACTGCCGACGGCCTGGATGTACCTATACATTTAAAAATAAAGCTGATATGGGTGAGTTTACTTCTCTTTAGACCCACTATCGAGTACTAGCGCCCTTTCTGCTATTTAATGACATTTGCTTCAAATTTACCTAATTTTCAGAAAAACACAAGACCTATCACATCAAGGACGAAGCTCTTTCAAAGGATGGTTTTAAGAAATACATGAAGAATGAAGCGTGTCCTTACAGAGACTGTAGATTCAGTAGGACTTGCAATCACATACATTGCATTCGACCACATTGCAACTATGTTCTGCATTCGAGCAGTCAAATTTTCACGCATAAGAGGAAGCATGAACGAAAGGAACAAGAAATGAACTTTGGGTAAGTGTTGACGTTGATTTAAATTGAAGTATTTGGCCTAAACGTGATTTTAATTACGGAATCCCTCAAGGTACCATCTTCGGGCCCATACCAATCCTACATACGATTAAAACACGTAATTGAAACTTGTCTAATTTCAACTTTTAATTCTTTATGTATCGTAGGCTTCCAACGTCGGTAATACAAAGCGCACTGATGCACCAAGGTGCGGATCTAAGCATGTACTCCCCTGGAAGTAACCTTCACGTGGACGATGATATGTCAAGCTCAATGCTTGATGACTATTCCAATCCTTACGTAAGTAAAAACATTGATTATATAAATGAACAGGAAGTCATAATAACGTATTATATGAATACTATAACCGATATTTTGGTCTAGAAAATAACGCGTTTGTTAATTTTACAGAATCCAGCATTAGTGGAGGAAGTATCCCGGAAGTACATAGAAGTATTCAATGGCAGTAAGGAAGCGGAGGACAAATGTAGCAAATGCAGCGCGCTCAACAAGCACTATCATTGCTTATTTGAAAGCTGCAAGATGGCACATAGGTAAACTATAAATAATTTATAAATGTACATTTGTAATTAATTGGTATTTGTTGGCCAATTGTTTTCTAGTTGGAACACTATCGACTATTTTTTGGATTTTGTGTTGCGTGTTTATTCTAAAGTTTTCTTTTCTCCTGATAGTTGTCACAACACAATGGTGAAGCACGTGTTAGAACACGAACAACAGAACCAAGTGACAGATGCTTATTTTATGACGTTTTCACGAAATAATCCCTGCGGCAATTCCGCCTGTCAGCACATCCGGGACATCACGCATTACCACTGCACTTGGGTAAGATTTCTATAGTAATTGTTGATTTATTGTTTGCTTAATTTTAATTCAAATACTTAACGATTTAGTTTTTTGTTTCTCAAATAATTTGTTTTGTTCACAGGAAAACTGTGGCGCTGTAATTTTATCTTCTGAAGAACATCCATTCCGACGATTGGAACATCATCGTCAACACGCGATTCTCAGCCCTATGTCCCCAAACTTAGCCGCTAGATTCGCTCCAAACTTTACACCCCAACTCTCAGCTCAATTACATCCAAATATGGCGGCCCAATTAGGTCAAGTGCCGAATCTACCAAATCTCCCGCCAAATCTCGCTCAATTAGCACAGATGGCGCCAAGTCTTTCTTCTCAATTAACGCCTAATCTACAGGCTCAATTAAATCTAGGCCCAAATCCCGGCATAGTCCCACAACAGGTAAATCCGTCTAGTTCTTTAGACGAAATGTTTAGCAGGAAGAGAGGAAGACCACCAAAGAATCGTGTGGTCGAAGTATGGACTGATAATGTAACCCCACAAGCCATTTTCACATCATTCAAACTACCAAAAAGTAATCAGTTGCCACCAGCAGTACCATCACCAGTCATAACTACTATTGAAGAATTTCCTGTAAGTGTTGATAGACAAATGAAATTTAAATATACCAAAGATACTAGAATTTTAATTAATTGTATTTCTTACAGCGTATAAAGTTTCAACACTTCGAAGTTTACACAGTACCTGATACTTGTGCTCAATATTACCCTAATTGTCAACTAAGGATGACCAGACTACATTTGCATTGCTTCAACTGCAGCTTTACAGGAGAAACACACATCATCATGGAAACACACATGAGAGAATCTCACTCCATATCCCCTCTTTTAGAAGGATTCGATTACTTCTCTTCTTTCGAACAGTGTGGTGGAAAGAGTTGTTTCAAAAATCAACTGAGATCTCATTTCCATTGTGCTCAAGGCAACAATTGCCCAGCAATCCTAACTCAGTATTCAGCTTTAGCTACACACAAACATGGTAGAGGTACCCCAGTTATTAAAAGCGAAACTGATCAAGAGAAATCATTTGAAGAGGCCAAAGATTATTCTATAAAAGAAAGAGCATCCGCTGATAGTGTTAGTTCTATGAAAGAACCAAATGAATCTTATACTCCTACAAATTTCTCTATAAAGAGTGAATTTGAGAGGGAACAGGACAACATTTCGGGTGAGTATTATTTCTATATACAGTTTCATCTCATTTCTTGTTTATTAATTCATTTTATAATCTGTGTACATGCGATAAACATGATACCTTAGTGTACATATTCATGTACATACTTATTCAAGTAGAGTTTGACAAATTATCTTAATTTCAGTAGTAAAAGCGACTGGAACGTTTTATCCGTCGTCGCATCTCCGAAGCAATACATCATCACCTTCACCGAGAAGTATTTACGATGCATCACCATCAAAGGAAATGAAGCTTCGTATGGACTTCGAACAGAAGAGACAATATGAGCCTCCAAAGATCTCAGGACCAACAATTCCGCCCTCATGTCACGATCAAGCTTGTCCTTTGAATAAGAACGCTGGTGGAATGAATTTACATTACCACTGCCCTCACTGCAGCCAGGCTTACGTGGATTTGAAGCTGCTTTTCAGTCATATGATGAAGAAGCATAGCAATATTATGGAACAAGGTCCAGTAGGATTGCAAGCGACTAAGGTAAATTTCTTGACGATATTTTACACATCAATTACTTGTACATCTGTAACTGTGGCCAGCTTCCTTAATGTTTCATATATTTTTTTTTATAACAGGAAACCTTAGAACGGGAGTATCCTGAAATTTCAATACTACCATCTACCGCGTCATCTTCCACTGCTGGTCAAGTGCCTTCACCAAGTCAAAGACCAACTAATCCAGCTGAACAAGTAAGTATCTGACAATCCTTAATATTCCTTCAGAAATTTTCATTCGAATGAGTTATTAATGGATTATTTATGATATAGGTTCAAGCAGTGCAAAGTCTTTTACTCCAGCAGTATCTGGCAGGTGGTCGGAAGGGCAGTCTTCAAGATCAGTTGAAAATGCACCAACAATACACAGCTTCGTTGGCGGGTTTGCCTGGCTTAGCACAAGTTGCATTATTCTCACAGGGGTAAGTTCAAAGTCACAATTTTATTTGCTTTATTTTCCATCCCTCCTCCCTCTTTTGAGTAAAAAAGTTCTACACTCCCAAGTTCCTTTACCTCGATGTAAAGCCATCTACAAGCATCTTATGAAAGCCTACACGTATTAATAGTCTGTAGGGAGACTAATTTATGTTTGTGTTTACAGAGGGTCACCATTCCCCTTGTACCCCACGATGTTGTACCCGCCTGAGCTCCTGTTGGAACAGAGCTTGATGCAAGGTCACGGTCTGCCACCAGGCATGGACAAGGAAGCAGAGATGATTGCTAAATCGTGAGTATTTATCATCACTTAGTGTTAGAATTTTAAGTATTGCTTTAAATCTGGAAAAACTGGAATCTTCTTAGCATTAGTTTTAGCTTGTTTTAATGATAGAATTTGTTAGCAGGCGCACTCACACCACCAGAGGGCCTCACATGCGAGTCATGAAGGATGAACCGATACCAGAAGGATATCTGAGGTTCAGGTTCAATGAAGATTGTGCATATCAACACTGCGGATACAGGTGAGTTTGTCTCATAAAATATAAATAAACATGAAACATTCGATCTCTTGATTTATTTAGAGTGTTTTTTGCTATAATTAATTGGTAATTTATTTAATCTATTTTTACTTTCAGAGAACATCAAACCCATTTCCATTGTACTCGGAAAGACTGTGGCTATTCATTCTGCGATAAAACAAGATTCGTTCAACATACAGCCAGACATGAAAGGTACGTTAATAGCTTTATTTTTAATAAGTTAACTAACAAACAATCAAATAACAATTATTTATATTTTAAATTTAAAAGTGTTCAAAATATTCCAACAGCGCCATCTATTATTCTGGTGTTGAATACGCTGATTCAAGCTTCACCAAAAGCTCATTAAAGCCTGCTCTCTATATGAACATTTAGTTTCCCTTTTTGTCAATAGATGGCGTTAATTTGTAATCGCCGAAAACTTTGATCCAATTTAAAGTTGAAAACTAATTATAATAATCGTTTTATAATGTTATAAATAATTGTATTTATTTGCAGATTGGATACACTTATGGGCGGTGACTTCCAGCAATACAGAGCTAACGTTTACTGCCAGAGACCGGAGTGTCCACACGCCACCACATTCGGTAGGTTTTGTACAATGCGTGTACGATAACATGAGACTACTTTTTTACTAATGACGATACAAAAGTAGGCTATTCCAGCTCCATCTAGCGACTAACTGTCATCTGGTTGTTTCCAGGAACAGGGCAGAATAAGGCATCGCATTTCCATTGTTTGAAGTGCGATTTTGTGTGCACTGATACCAACAAGGTGGTAGCACATCGCCGGCAACATCAGAAACTCGACTCTATACAGGCGGCTGGTTTTGAGAAGTTCCCACCCAGCAAAGGTATCATGTCACCTTAAAATTCTCAAATTTATAACGTAATTTTACTAGCGACTGAACTAGGCTCTAGTAAACTCAGTTTACAATAGAAAAGTCCCTTGTCGACAAATTATAAACTGACTAATTAACTTCGTAAAAGTGTAAAATAATATCAGTTAGATTTTTTAAACCTAACGTTATAGGGTTCCGTATCTCAAAAGCAAAAAAAACGGAACCCTTATAGGATCACGCTTAAAGGTATCAAGCTAGAATTTATATCAAATACTCAATCTGCTGTCTCTTGCTGTTGTGCAAAAATAAAACATCAAACGCAATTAAATGATACACCCGTTTATTTCACAAATTTACGCAATTTTTTATTTCAGGTTGCGGTTACGAGCCTCAATGTATCCATAGTAAGAAACAGACCCATTATCATTGCCTGCAGTGCGGCTTCGCAGTACTGGGTCTATCTCAGATGACGTCACACAAGTACAAACACCAGGAGGCCAACCTAGGACCGTCCACTAGCGCCACCAACTGACCAACAAACTCATATAAATGCAGTGACAATTTAAAGAAACTATTATTTAATTGTGTGTGCTTCGAAGAATAGCGGCTTATAGACATAGTATACGAAATTTTAATCATTGATTCATAGGTTTTTGTTATAATTCGGATTATTTTAAAACAATTTCGAATATGAAAATGTCTTTGAAACGATTTCTTAGTGATTTATAAAATTCCGAATTTGACGAAAAAACCTAAAATTTAAATAAGTGTCCATCTTTATCGTGCCTTAGATGCAAATTAATTATTAATATTCACACGTAACGAGTCGTGTGCCAAATATCTTGTAGAAGAAACTATGACAATATAGAATTAACATTACAACCCGTTGACAATAACATGAGATGTAATCTAATGTACACGGCGTACAACATACAGAAAAATTACACAGATATATTAACTAAGGTAATACGAATGTAGTAATGTTGCTTGGTATGGTCTCATGTTATTGTGACCGGGTTATATCGTGTGTTCAAGTTGCTAAAATGCATTTTGCATATGTAATATTAAGATTTATGGTAGTGCATGTTAAAAGTGTGTATTTTCCTAAAATCCTGACCAATTTTTTAGGTGATAGTTAATATAAAAAAATATTTATATTTATTAATTCCCCCATGAGAAAAAGACATTTTTACGAATAGTATTATTAAATTTAGATTTCGTAAAATGAAGGCAATAATTGTGTTTTGAACGCCATTTTGTGCCTAGATTAACAATGGGACAATAAACATTTTTGTGATACTTCCTGATATAAATTTAAGTCATTTCATTAGGTGAATTCGTTATCAAACGAGAACTGACTATCAGAAATTATCGCAAAAATCATCATAGATTAAAAATTAAAAATATTTAACAAAAAAAAGAAAATGTCAATTTTATAAAACTTTGTAAATAAGAAATAGATTATATATTATCAAAAAAAATGCTTAATGTTAATTGTTACAAATATTGGAATTATAAAGATGTATGAAAGAAAACATTTAAATAATTATGTACAGAATAAAGAGTGCTAATTTGTGATTCATGAGGTAGCCATAAAATGCCATATAACTTCATACATATTTTTAGATATAATATAAATTTTTTCTCTAAATTCATACGATAAGATTGGTTGATATAATCAAATTTAAAATTGACAATATTCTTAATAAACTGATATAGAAACACGGCTAAACACTCACGTATATTCGTCCGGTGGCACCGACTAGTTTCATCCTGATGAAGGGCCTCCGATGGGCTCGAAACTAGTCGGTGCCGCCACCGGACGAATATACGTGAGTGTTTAGCCGTGTTTATATATCAGTTTAGTATAATGTCTCACGAAAGTTTGAATAATTTAAAATTCTTAATAAGTTTATTTTGTAAATCAACAAACCAAAAACATAAATCCATGAACCTTTGCATTCCCGTTTTTCGTTTCCCGGAAACATTAATCAGACCATTCCCGTGTGTAGATCTGGTCATTGACCTTTGACCAACAGTTTTGGTTCTACCTATTCCTAGCTTTTATCAGTATTTTTGTAGTTTAAGTCCTATCCTATTGTTCCTATAATGTGACATTTCATTTCTCTTACTGTAAGATTTACACTGCAAAAACACCTGAACAAAAAATTGCTATTTCTTTTTTTTAAACAATAAAAAGGACTGGCATTTTCTGTATTACTCGTAATAATTCAGTTAGACACTAGTTTAGTTTAATATGTGTTAACCCTTTGACTGCCAGTGATTATAATTTTATAACTAAATATAATATTATCAAAACTGCTTTCAATATTTTTTGTTATTTAATTGTCAAAATTGTGTTTCTGAAGCATATTTTAATAATCAATTTCTAGTATTGTTTAACATCAACTTGTAATAAATGGTTGAAATATGTTTAAACTAAAACATCATTGAAAGTTTGTCTAAGATTTTCTTGGTTAGGTCGTATGTTTTTTGTAGCGTCAGTGTTAAAAAATTTAAACTATCCTATTTTGTGTCTTTATAAACAATTTCCTTTATTAATGTAAAATTATATTATTAGGAAACTTTGTCCTGTTTATCTTTTTAAAATAGTCCGTGCCATAAAATGTTTAGTCATGGTTTTGAAGTTTAATATTTACGTAAACTAGGTCCTTTATTATCGCACTAATTTTATTCTCCGTGTACTAAGCAAAGTTCTTACAGAAATCCTTTACATTTCTCATTTGTAAGATTTTAAAGGTCTCTCAATCATTGGAATGTTTTCTGTCATTATTGGTTGTTACGAAAATATTTGTTTTGTTATGTAATTTTACGTTACATGTTTTTTTTTCTTGACTTCCCTTGTAATATTAATCAAGTATTTATCTTAGTGTATTTAGCGTAAATTTTAGTTATTTAAATATAATAATTTAAATCCTTAAATGCAGTATTTTGTCGGAGTAAATGCAGTGTGGAGTGTGTTATGATTACAAATATGAATTCGGACAAAATTAACCTTTGTTTATAATTTAATATTGTAATTATCAGAATATATACGAATTATAATTTAAGCAGTTTCATTATATGAGATTAAAAATGATTGGTATAAAATAGTTTAGTGTTGTTTACCTCATGATTTCTAGAGATTAAATGAGAATATATATATATAAAAAAAATTCTTTGATTCTACTTCAACAAACATACATAAATTTCAAAATACAAGCTATAAGACATGTAGTTTTATATCTATTTCATTTTCCTCTTTTGTTAGAAGTGTTGGAAACTCGAACTAAATGGAATAACAAACAAATAATAGATATCCTAGCACGAAAATTTGTGATTCGTTACCTTTTCGACAAAATTTGTCATGAGGTTTTTCGTACTTTACGCAGAATAGGGGCGCTGTACAAATCAAATATTAATTTGGTTCGATGAAGTAACGAACACTTTCTTGCAAATTTTCGTGCTAGGCCCTCTATCTTTCAAGCAAACTGTCCAACGGATATCAGTAAAGGTTTGTAATGCAAATGTATATCTAGATATATTACTACGAAGTAATTTTAAATACGCCTAAAAGAAGACGAATAACTTTAGTCAAAAGAATTCTTTTGTACATCTTATTAAGTAACTAAAACAAAATTAAAATTCTTACATAAACAATTTAATTTCGTTTTCAATCTTGAGTTCTCTTAAATAAATCCGTTAATGAAAAGTTCAGATTAATTTCGTGCCAAGGGAAGCTTGGAGCAGGCTGTCGGAGCAAGCTTTTGTTAAAATAAACGCCTTTTGTAGCTATGTCTTACAAATTACAATTTAAAAGCATAATCCGCTAACTTTACTTTAAGTATTGTTAGTTTCTGTACAGTTCTTCAAATTGTATGAAGAGTTAATGATTTTATTAGATAAAATATAATTCAAGAAAAATAGAGCAACCTGTATTTTACTTATTATTATTTTTTTATATCATAAGGTGGCAAACAGGCGAGCGGACACCTGAAATCGTTGAAATAGCGAAGTAACCGTTGCCCATACACATACGCAATTGCATATGCGTTGCCTACCTTTAATCGACGGAGGAGAGGATGTTCAGAAATAAAACATTTCCATGCATCCTCTCATCCGGAAAGTCCACTTCCACTTCCCATTCTTTCCTTATAAGAAAAAGCGTGGGAAGGGAAAGAGGACTAAATTAGGCCTCCGGGACGATACTTATAAGTTATACTGATCGTTAGTTTAGAAAAGAAAATAATTAAAATGGCTGATCTCAACACAAAGAAAAAAAAATGTTATCATAAAATTCAGAACCAAGAAAACTAATTTTACGCATATCATCTCTAGATTATATTATATTACCAAGATTATATATGTAAATACATATGAATATAATAGTTATCGAAAGCTATATAATATATATTTAGAATAGAGTACGGAGCATAGTATACATGTACATTTATATTTCACCGAAAACGTAACGTTCCGGCCTCTGGCGGTTTACCATTGCCTCTACGTGTCGGAAAATCGTCCGTAAATGATTGTAACGCCATAAACAAGAATGAGAATAAGGATAAATTTATTTCACAAAAACACGTTAGAATAATATACATTGAAGTATCTTGCAGACCCCGAACTAGGCTGAGTCTGTATCTCGGGGCCTAGGAGTGCACTAGCCATAAACAAAATAACAGTACGTACATATCATGTAAAAGTAAGCGTGATATTATGAGATACAATTTGGAAAATAAGAAAATACATGAAGACATTAAACTAAGTAATTTTGAACTGCAAATAATATCAAATGATAGCATGTGTGTGTATGATTATGCGTGTGAGTATGTGAGAAAGTGTGTGTGTGTGTGTGCTTGCGTGTGTGTGTACTTGCGTGTATGTGTGCTTGCGCGCGCGCGTGTGTGTGTGTGCTTGCGTGTGTGTGTTTTAAGTTAGGTGCGCAGGTGAATATTAACAAACACTATTATTTTTCTAAACAATAAAAATGTGATAGCTTCATTTTATATGTATGAAATATTCATATAGAATTAAAGGAGAATTGTACTAATAAACTAATTATACTTAACTACACGTAAGTTTAAAAAATCTTAGTAAAATCGTAATGACTACAGTATTTTTTTTATATCATAAGGTGGCAAACGAGCGAGCGGTCACCTGAAATCGCTGAAGTAGCGAAGTGTCTTCTGTCTCTGTGAAAGTCCACTTCCACTTCCCATCCTTTCCTTATACGAAAAAGGGTGGGAATGAAAGAGGACGAAATTAGGCCTCCGGGACGCACACTTATCAGACGAAACGCGGAATTGCTTCCACTTCACGCCTGTCTTCTGTGTGGTCGGGGTATTTCACCAGGCGAGTCGGGACAATTCATGCGAAGATGTTAAAGCGAGCTCTACCACTATAGTAAAAATATTAAAACTATTAAAAATTGTACCGTGCCCTAAGCTTTAAGCATCTTACAAATATAAATACAAAAGTTTGGATGGATGTTTTTTAGAAGATACCTTCAGACTGGATGCATGGATCCGAAAATGAGCCAGTGTATTGACTCAACACTAGCCTTACTAAAATGTCGTTTATGTCCCCTCACTATTCATTCTAACACTGGACTTTGTAACGAAAGCACGTCATTCGCGCCAAATGATTCTAACTTATAATGTCTAAAATTATTGACGTAGAACACTGTATGGATGAATGCACAAGCTACTATTTTTTTTTATTCCGAGCGTAGAGTGTCACAAGCGTCAGGTGGTATACAATATAAGAGTAAGTTCTTAGCACGTTCAATAGTAAAACAACTAGCTGTCGCCCGCGACACGTCCCGCGCTTAATAAAAACTCACTTAGTAGTCTATGTTTTCTTCCAAACTATGTCCTACATCTATGCCAAATTTCATCGATGCTCCTTTGCCGTTCTGGAGATACCGTCCATTCCTAAATCATTTGGATTTACTACTGCTTGCATTTATAATATTAGTGAGATTAAAAGTAAGGTTTTATCATAGTTTTTTTTAATAATAATAATAATATTGAATCGACTATTTAACGAGCAAATGGAAACTACAGCGGACTCCGCCTCCCGCGGGCATCGGATCGATGTAACGCATGCGCAGACCTGGCCGCAGTATTGAATGGACCCATTCATAGCGCCTTCAGAATGAACCGTCTACGTATACCCGCTCGCGTAGCTATACCCTACCCCGGCCGGGACCACTACACACCATATTGTCTTTGCACATTATAGTAAAATTACTTATATTAAAGCTAGCGAATTCAACTGCGTGGTTTTTAAAAAGTCAGTACTTAATTCCTTGCATAGTTGTTATAAAAAAAACAAATCTGTTAAAAGTATTTTCTGACTGTTTTTTTATTCCTGAGTTCATTTTTTCACAGCTTACTATCTTACTAATATTATAA